GAGAGACCCAAGAAGAAGACAGTGGAGGGGGAAGAATTTTGTTGGTAGTCTTAGTAAACCGGCCCATTTCCACTGCACAGCCAATCCTTGTACTACTCTCTCAAGAGATATGGTCTCTTCTGGCCATAGCTGAGGCACACTAGCCTGGTATGAACAGAGGTTTGCACTGTCACTGATCTAGTAGTACAGTTGTATGGATAGAACAAGTAAGTATTTAGGTGTGTGATGGATGCATGTCTAGGTTTATGCTGTATCCACCTCTGCTGGATTTATGTAGTTTAGTAAAGTAACCTAGATTCCTCTCCATTTATCTAGCTTGTTTTGTAATCACTATAGTGATGTCTAAAATTGCTATGATTTCTGTTTGTAACATATTCCGGACAGGTAAGAAAAACATGTAGACCCAGGAGAGAACATCAGATCTTCCTAGTCTCTCACAGTTGTAGGCTTGGTATTGCAAGGTACTAAATATCCTAAACTCCTAGGAACCTTCCTGAGAGAAGAGGGCTTTCAGCCCTATATTTTAGCTACAGTTACTATATTCATCAATCTCTTTTTCCTAAAGGGCTAGGTATTTCTAAACTTCTTTGCAGGACATAAGGGTCTTCTAAAGTCATTATGGGTGGTTTTTAATTTAATTCAATGTTCTTTCCCATTCCAGCAGCAGCAGGTATCCTACACAGAACAAGTAAGTGAGAGATATTAATTACAGAAAACTTCAATTTTCTAAACAACATAAGCTAGTAAACAATTAATGACACTCAAATTACAAATGTCAGCCAGAAATAAAAACCAGAAAAAATAGCAAAGAGAACATGGTCTAAGCCCTACCAAGAGATGTTGGGTTGGCCCAAGAGCAGTAAGACAGAACACACACACACACTGTCTGGGGTTGTCCTCACTGACAAATTTCTTGCCAGTGTTTTGTTTCAAGTATGGCACCTTCTATTGGGTAGGGCGATGTACAGTACTGTACCTGCACAAAGCCATATTAGATGCATGCATAAGACCATTATCACAAAACAAATCCAATTTACCCTTGACTGGAAGATCTTTTGTCAGGGGTATGACCCAAAGCCCACTGGAGTCAATGGGCGTTTTTCCAGTGACTTCAGTATGCTTTAGACCAGAACCATGGTGATCTAGGATTTATTACTGCCTCATGGCCCCTGCTGGAAGGCCTTTTATATTCATCTTTCTTTACCCAAATCTGGAGGAAACTACAATTTTATTTAAAGTTTTTGCTGGTGAAAAGATTTGGGCATATTGGGCTTGATGTCTTTAAAGATCTCTTTAAAATCCCCATCGGGAAGGGATTGAAAAGCAATGTATTAAAAATAGTCACCATCCATCCGTGGTAAGAATGAAACAAGAAATACACTGCAAAATATATTTACCCTTGTGTAAGGAGCTCCCCTGTTTGGAGCACAGAGTTCTGAGGAAAGAAGGAAGAGAATATAGATATGGCCACTCTGACAAAGATCACATCCACTGGGAAATGGAGTATGGTGTAGAGGCGATGAAAGCCCCCTCCATAATACATGTAATTTTATAATATTTACAATCCTGGGTTGGGGGAGTGGAGTTTCTTTTGATCTTCAGCTTATAAGTAGCTTATGCATAAGGATTGTAAGAAAGTTGGTATTTTATTCTAGGCACTATAAACAGAGATGGCTGCTCTTATTTATAGAATTACCTATCAAAAGAAGTATAATGTAATATAAAATTAATCACAAATCAGGTTGGTATTATATGCCTTACTCCATAAAACATCAAGGCCGCAAAATAAAGCACTCAAAAGAGCAAATTAATCTTAATTTAGGATATTTTATGAATATGAATTATGATCTTTATTTACATAAACACATGCTATTCCTTCTGCAGCACCCCCGACCTCATCTGGTCAGATGATATACAATGAGCTAAACAGCTGTTCAAAATGGACATAAGAGATCATATTTTTAATGGCTGAGTGTGTGGTCCTCTTTCCAGTAGTCTCTACATCAGCCCCTGTCTCATTCATTGGCCAACGCACTAACAACTGAGGCAGGAGACCTGCAAAATAATAGAGACAATACTATGTACAATTATGTAAATAGAGGCAACAGGCCAGACCTTCAGCTGGTGTAAACTGGTGTAGCTTAGTTTCCTTCAATACACCTATCCCAACTCAAGAGATCTAATAGCTACATAAAGGGGCAAACTTAATGTTGTCTGGACAACACCAATATTTCGACTTCTAAGTGCTTAACTTTGTATTGTATATTCTTCATTGGAATTTCTCAAGTATTTTAAAGAGAAAATGAATTTCTACAAAGCTAAACTGTAGTATTTGACCACAGAATGATCTTTCCTGAACACCACAGAAGGTCAGTAAATGCACAATTCTGAGTGCCTTCATATACCCACACCTGAATGCTGAGTAGTATGCATCAGCATGAAGCAATGTGCGTCTTATAACAGAGATCTCTAAGTAGTTGTAAGTCACCATGGCTTGCACAGAGGGAAATGAGCTTCTTTATGATAGAGTTCAGCTTCCAGAATCATGTACTTCTGAGCACCAGACTCCACAGTGTAGCTTTTAAGACTGTAACACTGACCTCTAAACAAGGAACTTCCCCTACACAAGTGGTCCCAGTTATGCTTCAAGCCAAACTTCAGCAAGCAATCAGCATTTAAGAATTTGCTTAATAATCCTGCCATTTGGACAATTTTTTTCTGCAAATCTTTTCATCCCGGCATACAATTGAACCCAAATGAGTACAATACAACTGGAACTTCCACAGCTGTGAGAACTTCCAAAAATAACCAGGTACCTACAAAAAAAAAGTTAAAAATAGTCCCTCACCACATTCCTCTTTCCTAAAAAGCTCAATGCAAAGAGGTTCTCATAGGTGTGAGAACAGTTGACCTTTTCAAATTAATTATACGTTTTCAAGGTTTTTTATTCAAAAAAGGGTTTTGGCAACAGACTGAGATGAAGGGAAAAAACCTTTAAGAGAAGAATAACTGATGCTCAGCAGGAGTTCTCTAGGACTCATTTCAGCCTGAATGTACTCCCATCTGGCATTGGAACAAAACAAAATTAAAAAAGAGAGAGAGAGAGGAGAAACCTCCCTCTGTAGTCAATTCTCTTGGCTATAAACAAGGTGCACAGTGTAATGAAAGTTCTTCTAATAGGATTAGACGGCATCATTCCAAAGAGCTATCCAAAACAACTGCAGAAAGGATGGGGAAAAGAACTAGCAAGAAAAAGACTCATTAAATTGTAGAATATATTTCTGAAAATGTTCCTTCTGTTTAAGCCAAGGCAGTAAAACATTAGATAGTCCCATCATTTTTGAAGTTTGCTGAGTGATGTGGTTATTTTGGGAAATTAATCTGAGAATCATGGAAATGCAAGCAGAAAACCAGGTACTATAGTTGAACAGGCCAGAGTCTGAATTCCAGACTTATACATGCCTAACTGGTATCAAAATCTGGCCCACAATTCAGACGCTCATGTGCAGTTCAAAACAAACCTCACCCAGGAGAATCAACAGCCTCAGCTCTGAAGTTTTAAAAAGTGTAACTTGTAAAGGGAGGCACTGTTTAACTAAAATTTATACCAGATTTGTAACATTTTTCCTTCTTCTATTGCTCCACCTTAAAGAAACGTCTTATCCCACACAGAGGGGAGAAAAATAGCATTCTGGCCTAACAGTGAGATGATAATAATAATAATAATTAACATGCTTTTTTGTTTTCAAAGTGCTTTACAAATATTACCCTGGTAATTGTTACAAACTCCCTGTAAAGCAGGGAAGCGCAGTTGCTATCTCAGTTTCACAGACATGGAATGTGAGGGAGAGACTGGTTAAGCACCTTGTCCAAGATCACAATGACACATCTGGGAGCAGAACACAAGAAATTGCTCCCAGTCCTGAGGCCTATATAATGCTGGTAGTTTGTGTTTAGCAGCAAATGAGAACAGAGACAAGGGGATTAATAGTTAACTCTTAGGCTACGTCTAGACTGGCATGATTTTCCACAAATGCTTTTAATGGAAAAGTTTTCCGTTAAAAGCATTTGCAGAAAAGAGCGTCTAGATTGGCACAGACGCTTTTCCGTAAAAGCACTTTTTGCGGAAAAGCGTCCATGCCAATTTAGACGTGCTTTTGTGCAAAAAAGCCCAGATCGCCATTTTCACGATCAGGGCTTTTTTGCGCAAAACAAATCTGAGCTGTCTACACTGGCCCTTTTGCGCAAAAGCTTTGCGCAAAAGGACTTTTGCCCGAACGGGAGCAGCATAGTATTTCCGCAAGAAGCACTGATTTCACACAGTAAGAAATCAGTGTTCTTGCAGAAATTCAAGCGGCCAGTGTAGACAGCCGGCAAGTTTTTGCGGAAAAACTTGCCAGTCTAGACGCAGCCTTATAGTATACAGTCACAGGATTGGTATGCACAGGAGCTTAGAAGTAGATCTGAGCCCTCTGTTGCAAAAGGCAACAACTGAATTGAGGATGACTCCTGGTTCAACTACTAAGGTGGTTTTGCTTTGTCAGTTTTAGTAAGAGGTCAGAGGACACTCCTGGTGAAAGGTTAAAGATAATGAAAAAAAGTTAAAAAAAAAAGTCTCCAGCACACTGTTTAGTTATCACATAACTGTTAATCACATTTTAAGTACATCACTAAGGGCTCTTGTGCTGGATTTGTATCTGTCCAGTGTATCAGTGTATGAGCTAAAGCAGAATTGACTATTGGAAATCCACCTTAACTTTCCACTTTCTCGCTGATTCTTAGTTGTTCTGGTCCTCTGGGTCACTGCAGCCTTGAAATGCTGATCTCTATGGCACCAGGGCAGCACCATCAACAGGAAATTCATCCTGCACTTCAGGGAGAAATAGACTGGGATCTATTAGTCTGCTTTGCAGGCCAGGATTTAACTTGGAAGCTCTCAAGAATCTTAGTGA